AATTTATTAAAGCTAACAGATAGAAAACATTGTCGATTTGATGTTAAGTATGATAAAACACAAATTGTTGGAATGTATATTTGTATAACTGCAAATGGTCCTATAGAAAATCTTTATAAAAAATTACGTGAAAGTAATTCATCTATAGATATTAATGCACTTTATCGTAGAATCAGATTTATTATAAAATTTGAAGGAGAACCTATTGATCCAAGAATTGGATATGGAGATGTTTTAAGAATTTATGAGAAAGGAAATAAACAAGATGTGAATAATAGAATCTTTGATATTGAATTTAATAGAGGCACTACTTTAGAAGAAGTTAAAAAAGTAACTTTAGATTTAGGAATTGAAGGTGAAATTTATCAAGATATATCGACAAAATTATACTATTAGAGACGAATTTGGAATAATAAAATTAATGAATATTCTACTATTGAAGATATTGATGAAATTACTGATAGAGTTATAACGCAAATTCCAAAATCAGATCCAGGAAAAAGAATATTAGTAGCTTCAAGTAAAGATAAAAATTCAAAGCAAAATAATACTTTAGAAACTAGTAAAAATTATAATTCAGAATCTTCTCTTTCATCTAATGATTCTATTGAAACAAAAAGAAAAAAAAAAGGAAAACAAGTAATTAAAAAGAATAATAATATTGAACAAGTACAAATTAGTTTTGATAATAATATTGAAGTAGACTTAGAACAAGCACAAATTAGATCTAATTATAACGAATTAAGCAATAAAAAAAGAAAATTAGAAGATTTTTTAGATTTTAATGAATTATTAGAAGATAATAATCTTGATAATGGTCAAGGTTCAAGTAAAGAAATTAAAAGAATTAGATCTGATAAAGGATTAAATAGATTATTAAAAAAAGTATAGTTTTTTTTATATTTAATTTATTTTTTTTATTTTTATTTATTTTTATTATGTATTATTTTATAAAATCTATAAATAAAGTTTTATTTTAAAAATAAAAAAAAATAAATTTAAAAATGTCATTACCAAATACTGAATTGATTAAAGAAATATTATTCAATGAAGAAAGTTGCATTAAATTTTTGATAGATAAACAAATAATTATTAAACCAGAAAAATGTGAATGTGAATCAGAGATATATCGAACAAAAAAAATATTTAGATGCAAAAATAAGAATTGTAACAAGACAGTATCGATATTTAGAAATACTCTGTTTAGTAAAAGCAAATTGAAATGCTCAGAAATATTATTTATAGGTTATCTTTTTCTTTGTAAACTAAAATATACTTCGATTAGTTATATGACTAATCAATCATCACGAACAATAGTAAATTACATAAATATTTTTAGAGATTTAATAATAAATACTTTGAATGATAATGATCAGCAAATTGGAGAACCTGGTATAGTAATAGAGATGGATGAATCCAAATTTGTAAAGAATGAATCATGGTAGATTGTAAGAATTTAAATTTATTAATTAATAAATAATTTAAAATACTATACTAATTAACTTTTTTTTAATAAGTAGGCGGTGTTGAGAGATCTGAAAAAAGAAAATGCTTTTTAGAAATTACAGATGACAGAAATCAAGAAACATTAAAAAGAATAATCAAAAA